CGAGGATGCAGCAACCATGCTACAGAACTCTGTTGAACAAATTAACATCTGGACCAGGCGATGGCGTATTAAATTGAATGAAACGAAATCTGTTCATGTCAATTTTACTAACAAAAGAGAACAACATATCCCAGTTAGTATAAACAGAAACCAAATACCTTATGCAAATACGGCAAAATATTTGGGTATGACATTAGATTCTAAGCTACGTTGGAAAGCACATATTAAGAAAAAAAAGGAGGAATTAAAAATTAAGTTCAGAAAGATGTACTGGTTAATGGGAAAAAATCCACTCTGTCTACTTATAACAAATTGTTATTGTATAAGCAAGTCCTTAAACCGATATGGACATACGGGATACAGCTATGGGGCTGTACAAAAGAAAGTAACATCCAACATATACAACGATATCAGAACATCGTTAACGCTCCATGGTACTTCAGAAACTCTGATCTTCATCGAGACCTTCAGATGGATACGGTTATCCAGACAAATAAGTAAGTTTGCCGAGAGTCATGAACAAAGGCTCTCCAACCACGTTAATGTCGAGGCCATCAAACTTCTAGACAACGCCAACCAGATAAGAAGACTTAAGAGAACGATGCCGTTTGAGTTAGTGCTATAAGTGGCTGAAAGTGAAAAAGCAGAGCAAAGTGCGGCTAAAGTGTACACGTTAGCTAGTAGTACTATAATGTATTAGAGCCTAAGGAATATTGCTGAATGTAACCTTAGATAAGTTTTTTGTAATATTTTGTATATAAAACTAACTTGCTTATTGATCATAGTGAATGATCAGATAGCAATAATCATAAAATTCCTGTTAGGGTTTTATAAAATAAAAAAAAATTCATTCGTAGTTATCCTTAATATTTTCTTACATTAACATCAAAACTGAATCTTACTACTATTTTATCACTGAAAAACTTCAGTGATATCATACTTGCTTTACCTTGCAATGTAGATACTCATAGAACTTATAATTTAAAACGGTAAAAATTTCAAGGTTGGATTGGTTTAATTACTTAACGATCATACTATTCCCACGTGTTATTGCAAGACTAATTGAACATATTTTAATATTAAACATATTCACGTAAAAATACCAGCATGATGACAAAATATGAAATTTATGTACAACCGTCGTACGCATAATTTGGTGAATAAAATATTGTTAATTTAATCAAAAACGCCTTTTTCTTCCCAACAACAGAATGTTTATACTATTGAGGCTTATGTTCAAAATGAAACTCAATGGGAAATTCTAAATTGTTGAATTCCTGTTTCTCTAATTATTTTACATTATACATTTTCTTGCTATTATTTTTTTACGACTTCTTGTATTTTTGTCTTCCTTAATGAAAATGTTTTGTTTAACTACATTATCATATATAAATTTGAGATTCGAAATAGTTACAATTCCACTTTGCATTTGAAGGAGACGCTTAAAGAAGAAAATACTGTATGTGGCAACTTAAGCTTGATTTAAGTTAAGTTAAGTAAAAATATAAATAAAATGTCATATTTCTTAAAATAGTATCTGTTTACTCCCACAATTGCATGATCTATTTACAAGGAAGTAATCTTATCAAATACACGAAAAGTTCCAGTAAAAATTACTAAATAAATTATATTAGAAAGAATACAGCGGTTTCCGTTTTTCAGATAATTCTTAGTATCCGATTATCAAATGAAATAACAGCATTTGCTAATTAGTGGGAATAAAAATTCCATATTTGGATAATTCTTTTGAAATTACGATATTTTGTGCCTTAAACCGGAAACGTGGAAGTCTAAGTAAAATATTTTCTTATATTTAGTAGAATAGAATAGAATAGTAGAATAAATAGGTAAAGAAATAATAAATAAGACTTACTCACAATCAATTTAATTTAACTATCAGACTACCGGTTTCGCTTTCTACAATATGCAAAGCATCTTCAGGTCTCGATACAAAGTTAAATAAATGCTGAAATGATAAAAACCCATATTAGGGTGTTGTCTAATAAAGGTAAACAAAGTAGATGTTGGAAATTACAATAATTATGCCAATATTACATGTCTATGGTTTTATTTCAAAAAGAGTAAGTTGAATAAAAAGGTATAAACGTTTTAAAAGTTTAAACAGACAAGGTAAGGCCCACAAATTGTCATAAAATAGTCTATTAGATTGTAATAAATTAGTAAATGAGCAAATAAATAAAATAAACATTACTTACCTGCCGGTACTCTATTAATTGATGGATGGTAGAACATGGTTGAAACTACTATGTATTGTTAAATGAAGAACTCAATTCTGCTATTGTAGTTGTATGACAGTAAACGGGAAGTTCTTGAGGAGATAGATTTGATCCAATGAAGCAGAGATATGTGTATGAATGTTTGTTAAATGAAAGTGATGTAATATACTATTGTATTATTAAAAGTTATTTATACTTATTCGAGAGATATATTTATAAAATGTTACACATTTCATATGTTATACATGTGTTATACATTTCATAAATATATCTCTCGAATAAGTATAAATAACTTTTAATAATACAATAGTATATTACATCACTTTCATTTAACAAACATTCATACACATATCTCTGCTTCATTGGATCAAATCTATCTCCTCAAGAACTTCCCGTTTACTGTCATACAAGTACAATAGCAGAATTGAGTTTTCCATTCAACAATACATAGTAGTTTCAACCATGTTCTACCATCCATCAATTAATAGAGTACCGGCATGTAAGTAATGTTTATTTATTTGCTCATTTAATAATTTATTACAATCTAATAGATTATTTTATGACAATTTGTGGGCCATGACAATTTCTCTTCTAGTTTTTATATTTAGAGGAGAATAGAAGAATTTATTTTTATTTTGACGTTTAACAATGTTATTAATATCTTCAACAAAGAAAAAAATCAAATCCCTTTTATATTTTTTCTCTATATAATTCCCATCCCAGTTTAATAATATTCACTTTAGCATTTGGCAGAGCCATATTTCAACCGAAACATTTAAGAACTCGAGCGGGTATTAATTTTAAAAAGTCTTTAAATGCCCATATCTCACCTTTAACGTCAACATGCGGTACTTTTCTCATTCACTTCTCTATTTATACGACATATCCTGCAATATATCGTGCAAATCTCGCAGTGGGCGAATAAAGCTCACGCAATATTTGCGAAATAAGAACAGGCGAGGTCCTTTTTTTCGACTAAATATCTTTTTAAGGATTCTTAACATACCTACTTCGTTTTCATTATGTCAGAAGGTAAATACATGGGCGATCGGTCGTAATTCATCCAGTGGTTTATGCAAAGGGACTTTTTATAAATGTAATCCAGTATGCAAAACTGTTTCGGTTTAAAAATTTCAATACGACTTGTAGTTGAAAGTGTAGGAGACACCTATAAACATATGTAACTAAAACAATTTAGGGAGTTAGATAGAAGCACCATTTATTTTTTCACGTTTTAGTCTGTTTTCTAATTTAATGTTTATATTCTTTATTTTTGTTGGTATTTTTTAGTCCTACATTATATCGTTCATGTTTAAAACCTACTTCCTTTCTTAAATGTTTAAAATTCTGGCCCTTGCCGTACTTTTGACCAGTAGTGATCAGAATCCGCATTTGCTTCTCTTCTGGTGCGGACGTTTATTATATTCGATTGGTGTCTTGAGTCTACAATAGCATCTATCATATTAACTGAAAGTCCGTCTGATGATTTCCAGGTGCCTTTGTGTATATCTTTTCGAGCGAAATTAAAATTATAAAATCGATTCCAACAAAAAAAACTACCATTAAAAAGAAGTCATTTTTGAAATCAGAGCCTCAAAAATATTTAAAATTCGTTATTTCTTAAGCACGAATTATTTTCATTTTATTGGGCTGTGTTATCATTCCGGTTCCATACCGTGTAAGTTTATTTTGTATTCCCGTTCTTTCTTTGACGAAATTTTTAGTGTTTTATTGACACTTAAAATGAAAGTCTTTGCTTCATTGTGTAATTGCACAACGATATGTAATTGCAATTGTATCAATCTGCTGATTCAGCTATTGATTCATCTAATGTGTCGTTATTTTTCTTTGTAAACACATTTCGATCTAATGTCAGGACATTTATTAATTCCGTTATTAAATAGACTTAGATTTAAATAGACATAGAAATAAAATTCGATTGGGGATTGTATTTGTAACAGCATGATTCATGATGTAATAACAGTTTCCAAATAAAAACGTTTTGAAAAAATGATCTTCTAAAAATGATTTTAGAAGACATTCTGTACATACAGACCGAACAATCATCTGCGGTTGCTAGCACTCTTTCTATTCACAGAATAAATAATTGAATATCATTATGAAATAAAAACAATATAATAATTTGAGTATTTTGCGTCTTTAGGTATATATTCGACTTCTGCTTATTCGCTGATTCGACACAGTGTTAACGTGAATAAAAATTTATTTTATAAACTGGATCTAATGTATTATTTTTGCTATTATGAGCTGAAATATAATATTCTATTGTTACAAGGTAAAGTGACCAGCAGAGAAACATATTTTCTTACGCGCCGCCAATGACCAATTTCAAAATTTCCTAGAATTCATGATAGTCACGTGATTTCGACTACATTTCACTACTTACGGCGCGTGATTTCGGATGACTAATTTCATTTATTATTTGCTAGTCTATAAGTAGATGAAAGTTTAAAGAAACGTACACACTTTCTTCTTCTTGATGTGCCTATCCGTTTCGAATGTGCACACTTTACACAACAATATTTTTAATTCTCATGTAAAATTTCCAAATAAGTACACTACTATTCTTTAGGCTATGCTAGAATATTTAGGGACACTCCAAAAATATGTTTAGATATTTTCGTTTCATTATTAATAAGCCACCTTTTTTTAAATTAGTTTCCTTTGAATTTTTACTAGCAAATTCTTAATTTATGTTCAGTTCGAAGTTTTTTTTTAAATATAAATTGTATTATTTTAAGGAAATTCTTGGAGGATTTGAAAGAAGCGGAAGGGGAAGCGACGAAAACAGCGAACTGCTTCCTTCACCACGACTCAGGGTTTTCCGTTTACAACGAATACTGCCAAAACTACCCCACGACGATGGAAGTTTTAGGACAGTTAACCAGGGACGAAAAAATGGCTGCTCTCTTCAGAGAAAAACAAATAGCTTTAGGACACGCCCTACCTCTAGGATCATATTTGTTGAAACCAGTGCAACGGATACTTAAATATCATCTCCTGTTACAGGTAAGATATTTTTTATTTTGTTTTTGTAGAAAAAGTCCTATTCCACTACAAAAGTCCCCATCATATTTCATTATTAAGCTATTGTTTACGTACTAACAGGACTACTGCATCTATTGTCTTAGTTTTCCTCCATATGTCGGTTCTCTCTCTCTCTCTCTCCCTCTCACTTTATCACTCTTTCTATCTCTCCCTCTCTTTTGAACTTACCCCATTACTGAGGATCGTGATTGCCTCTAATATAGTTGGTTCCATCGGCTTCTATCATTAGTTATTCTAAGGGTTTCGCAGAACCTAAATAGTTCGTACTGTCTACAATCTCATATTCATGTATGTGGTCTGTTTTAATTTTACTTTTCGCAAAATATCTAGCATTTGTCGCTCTCTTGCTACCATAAATGTAGTGTTATTAACGAATCTTAAGTTAGAAATTGTTAGTCCAACCGCTCTTACTGTAACAGTCCACCGCTCTAGGGACTTTGTCATGACAAATTCAATATATAGATTAAAAACATTTGGTGATAGGACGTATGCTTGATTAACTCTCCTTTCTGTTGGCACTTAAAAAGTTAAAAAACGCTCATAAATGTAGTGTATAAAAACGCCATGTCTAAAAAAACACTACATGCTTCACAAAAACCAATAATATAAAGAAGAATTCAGTAGATCTTTATTTTATGCTGTGCCTCTAATATTATTTCATGTCATTTTTAAATTTATCAGTGGAGACTGGTACTAAATATACTAATTATATGAAATTTGTAGCGACTTTCCAAGCAATGCGACCCGCTACACAAACCAGCAGTGGACTTGGCTTTAACGACGATGACCGGCATAGCTTCTGATATCAACAACATGAAACGGAAGCACGAACATGCTGTCAGAGTTCAAGAAATCCAAGCTCAATTATACGGTTGGAACGGACCAGATCTCACCGCCTTGGGGGAACTCATAGCTGAAGGGACGTTCAGAGTCGTTGGAGCGAGAGGTCGAAGACATGTCTTTCTGTTTGAGAAGGTTTTGCTGTTGGCCAAAAACAAGCAAGGAGGAGCTCTGGCGTACAAGAGCCATATTATGGTGAGTATACGTTTGTCTAAAATTGATTTAATTGTTATATTTTTCTAATTTTCTTAATATCTTAGCTGAAAAAGTTGTGGTTTGTAATAGATCATTTTTACTTTTGATATTTCCTGTATACTCATTATATAAAGTAATAATCGTGTATAAAATAAAGTTGAAGTTATGGCGAATATGTCCCAAACTTATAGACTCATTTTGTTATTCATCCAATTATTATACTAGATTTGGAAATGCTTGGTAGAAAAGTTTTTGTGGTTCAGTAGAACCTCGTAGAACCTAAGTCGAATCTGGTTAGGTCAAAAATCTCCAAAACTAGAAAAAATGTTTTGTTTTCTTCCCTTTAACCTCAAAATATCTATTACTCGACATCTGAACCATTTGTTAGTCGAACTAATCAGTAAGTCTACTGATTATTTCTACTTAAGACTATTTGAAAGTTGTTGCCTCTATAGTTCGAAGAAAAATAAGTTAAAGACTTGACAGACAATGTAAATACATTAAAAACAAATCCGTAAAATAGTTTCGAAACACAATTCACTGTCTTTACTGTCTTTTTTATTTTCATTACATTAAAAACAATTTGGGAGTATGCGATAAATAGGATTACCACTTAAGAAATGTGTTGTCGATTGAAAAATTATAGTTCGGTTCTTCTACAACACACATAAATTTGTAAGAGACAGCTGAAGCTGTGAAGAACTTTCAAAAGAAGAAAGATGTTGCTGAATAATTTGGCCAACCAATCAGTACTTTGTCCACAACAAGTACAAGTACAAGTAACAATAAAAAATGAATGAGAAAAAAGTTCAAAAAGGTCTAAATATGTCCTGAAACAGACGACGAATTGTAGATTTTCCGGACTTAGAAGAGTGCTTACTTAAATGGTAGGAGTGTCAAAGACAAGAAATCAGTACCTATTAGTGGACCACGTTAACAGGAAAAGCCGAAATATACTCTCAATCATTGGGTGTGGCTAACTTCAGCGCCAGTAATGGATGGCTAGAAAAGCTAAAAGAAGAAGAAGAAGACATTAACTTACTTGTTACATGGTTACAAACCTATAATTTCAATGCTGATGAAACAGGACTGTTTTTAAATGTCCTCCTGATAAGATTCTAAGTTTTAAAAATGATAAATGCAATGTTGGGAAGCATAGCAAGGCAGGTTTGACTATTTTGGTAGCAAACATTTTGAGCACAGTAAAATTCTCACCATTAGTCATCGGCGAATCTAAAAAACATCGTTGTTTTTCATGATGTAAATAGCTACCTTTGAAATTTGAAGCAATTGTAAAAGCATGGATGACTGCTGCAAACTGATTCATAAATATTGATAAGAAAATGGCCAAAAAACGAAACAGCTTTTTATTCGTTGATTCTACAGTACATAATGATATTCCACAAATGAAATCTCTTAAAATCCACTATCTGCCCGCCAATACCACGTCAAGATTAGAGCCTATGGATCAAGGTCCGCCATCCAAGATCTTGGACAAGAATAGCTACCAATCGTAATGAATAAAGAGGTTTGCTAAGGAAGACCAAGGATATAATTGAACTGTAGAGCCATAGGATGGATGTATGGCTCAAGGTATCATTATATCGAAAAGAAGTTGTCACGATAATATGACTTGGTGAAGTATAACTACAAATACTATAAAAAAAGTGTTATGTACACTGTGGTTTTCCATCGTCGTCAACAGAAGAAGCTGAAACCAAAGATATTTCTATTTCATCTCCTGCAGAATTGAATACAGGGGTATCTGGATCAGGAATATCTTCTAATATCTGATGACGAAATTATCGGTTCAGTAGCTCAAAAAAGCGATTTAGATGACACAGAAGAATAATACTACATGCGCTTCATTGGTTTCTATCAAAGAGGCAAGAACAGCATTGAACATTTTACGCAATTTTATACAGTAAATCAGCAACTCTGAAGAACAAGAGGTTTCTGTTTTTTGTATCTTAGACAATGGCATAATATTATAAAAATTTTAAGGATGTTTTGAAATGGTGTTGATTTATAATAAATAAAAATATGTTTTTTACTGCTGTAACTTGAATTTTTATTTATTTCGCCTCTTTTAATCAAAATTAGTAAGAATGAATCAAAACCTTTTTATATCGAGTCAAAATACGCCTAATAGTTCAGCAGCTGGGTACCTTTCTGTAACCATGGAAGGATGGATCTAACTGAAGTAATTTACAATGAGAAGTTTTATGTATATTGGAAATTTCAATCATTTTAAAAAACTCACGTGCTTCTTCATAATATTTTATATCTGCACAGATTTTGCAGGCTTTTGCACTTTTATTGGTTAAATAAAATCACTAATGCTGGGTCACTGGTTTCTGACAACATTATCAATAACTTTAAAGCAGAGTATAATTACAGAAGCATTAGATAAAAATAAAAGTTATGGTTATGATAGTCAATTTCCGGAACAAGTTACGAGTAGACAATTTTTGATGAATATTTCCAATATATTTGTTAGTCTCATTACTCAATTGCATAAACTTTTTGTTAGCATTACAATCATTAAGGCATTGCACAAAACCAATTGACTTTTTGTACTATTTTTATTTCGAATAAGCCACAATTTTACTTTAAAATAATTAAGTTTATTTGGACTTTAATTTGATGCTTCAGAACAATATCAATTGTCTACTTATTTTTAGACCAACAACTTGATGTTGGTGGAACAAGTACGAGGAGAACCTTTATCTTTCCAAGTGATTCCATTTGATAACCCGCGATTGCAGTCCACGTTAAAAGCTAGATCGCCTCAACATAAACGAGAATGGACCTTGCAGATTAAGAGGGTCATTTTAGAAAACTATTCAGCCGTCATTCCAAACCACGCCAGGCAGTTGGTCTTGCAGCTTGGCCAGGATCTCCATGAAACAGGTAAATACTTATAATATATTTATACTAGTTTATATCGTATGTAATTTTCTTTTAATTTTTTTAACCACAGTTTTAAGTTTTTTTATATTTTTCAGTTCATTATGATTTAGTCCATTTTAATGTCTAATCTAGTCAAGTATTTTTTTGGTCAGCGTTCATTAATAATTTCCTAGCCAATTGATCATTTCAACTTGAAACTAATTCTACAGAAAAGACACAATTTATATTATTTTCAAAAAACAGGTACCCTAATCACTCTCGACTCTCACTATATAACAATCCTCTAGTTCGAAAAAATAATGTAAAATTTTTGGGAATGACATTCGACCAACAGCTAAATTGGAAAGAACATATTAAAAAAATTGGCAATCGAATGCACGACTTAATATCCTTAAATTGTTGTCTAAAAAAGACTGCGGAGCAAATAGACAAATTATGCTCTCTGAGTCTTCCCTTAAAATTTTACATACAATCCACACTACTGCACTCTGCATTATCTTAGGAACTTTCAAAACCATACCAATAGAAAGCCTGTATTACAAAGCAACTGAACGAACCATCACTCTGTTACAGAAGAATGTATTTAAAGTCAACTTACGCAATTAAATCAAATGCAAATCCTAACAACCACACCTTCAAATATGATCACCTTAATTGATTATCAACATGTTTCCCCAATAAACCACGTCTACACAAACCTTTCTGCCACTGAATCGAAATGGATCACTCATCTCTTAACACCACCTTACTTCCTTGCTTTCCCGTTTGTTTTGAACCTTCTGCGCCATGGACATTGGAAGTACCTAAAGTAATAACTACCTTTACTTCATTGGACAAACACACTACTTACCATCGTATTATAATACATCAAAATCAGATATACAAAGTCGCTCAAAAGTCTGGAAACGGCCATTATTTTGGGATACGGAGATTTTGTATTTAATATTTGCAATGTTGACAGATTTGCCGTTTTTCTTATATTAATAATATAATGGTTACTTTATCAAGTGTTCAAAATGTGAGTTGACCTTGGAGATGTTTCCTCGCTAAAACAAGAGATAAAGTGACAATAACCCGTCTTGGAGTAGTACTACAAATACGTTTTTAATAACAAAAGAATCCGAACCGAAATGTGAGCAGTGGAGCCTCAAGCTCTTCATGAAACATATTACTATAGACTGTCCAAATTACGGTATCTCAACAAATCTAGAGAAAGCACTTGGTGCAAATTGTTCCTTCACAAATATTCTAAATTATCATCGAATTGATGCGAATTTGTAAATAATAAAAATTGATAAATGTGTGTTATATACTAACAACAATTTTTCGTGTCAAAGATGATCATTTTGATAGAAATAATCAATGACTTATTCACTTTTATTTATGCACACAAAACTTAAAACTGTATTAGAAAATAAATTTAAAAAAAAGTAAAAAAATGATAATTTTTTTGATTTTGGCGTTGTGAAATAATTTCAGAGAACATTTTTGTATTTTTTCAGATAAAGTTAATGGACTAATAAGTTTCTTTAACGGAATTCAAGTGTCCGAAAGTCTGGAAAGCTTTTTTTCAAAGAAGAAACATTCAGACTAATTCTACGATAGGTTTATAGGACTAGATGAAAACTGGTTTGTTGATTTTCATCTCGACTCTCATGCTTTCCATTTTACTCTTTTCAGACTTTCAGTTTTTTTTCAAAAAATATGTTTTTGCTTTTATATTGAAGTGTAGATTTTGCGTACTAACTTTTGTTTCACACAAATCATTCATTAATGGCACAATTGCTAGTTAGCTCTTTTTTCATTAAAAAACAGCCTAAAACTGACATTTATTCGTTTGTCTGTAACCCTCCATAGAAGCAAAGAGCTTACAGCAAGAGGTTTCAATAAATTTGATTTTTTTTTTTTTCACCTTTAAGTCCGGTAACATACTATATTTTGTTCCCTGTGTCCTCTATTTTTCATAAATTGTCTTTCCTTCCACCTAATATATTGAACATGATGATGGTATATAGATAATTTACCATTATAGATAATATACCAATGGTATATAGATAGTATACATAGATAATGGTTGTTACATAAAATTGTTCTTCATGTATGATCAATTCATTTCCATTTTTGTGCGATGATAATGATTGCTGTTACTTGTAATTTAATTTTTTTCTGAACACAGTACTGTAATCTTCGTCTTCTATTATCTTTTGTATTTTTAACAAAAATGTTTTTCGAAACATGGTAAGTATGTTTATGTTTATCTATTGTGTTAGAACCAAAGTTCTATTGGCGACGTGCAAGTACTTGAAGGGGATACGAGAAACCATCGTGCGCGAGTAGCGGAGAAATCTTGCATTTTTTACTGCACATTTCATAGATTTCATAAATTCATATTGTCAAATTGTCAATTGTCATATTTTATATTCGTTTGTTTACTTACACCTTCTGTCACTGAAGAAAATGGGATTTAGGAAATGCTGTGTTATAAATTGTAAAAATACAACAAAAAATTGTCAATTTAAGTTTTATTCGGTCCCAACTTCGAAGCACAAAGCTACTACAAAGAGAAAAGTGGATTTATATCATAAAAAAGCATAAGTAACATAACCTAAATTATGCATTATTCTTGCGTCCGATTTTAAAGTCAGTTTGAAATAATTAATAAATAAAAGTTCACTTTTAAGTGTAAATTTCAGTTTCATAACACTCACTTAGAGTTCATTTTAACCCAAAAATCAAGTTTAATGTTGAAATTTTATTTTTTTGAAGTTTACAAAAATGCATCAAGTTCAAGTTTTTCTGAAGATGCATTAATATATATTCGCTGTCCAAAAGTTTACAGGGAAATAATTAATTGTTCAAACCAATATGATGATAGCATGGGCTTAACCTGCTAATTTATGCATTTATGCATTAGCATTATTTATGGTAATTTATTTTTGTTAATTCTTCCACATAATTCTTCCATTCTTTTTTGACATTTGCCACTACTAAAGCTTTTCCCTTTGACTCAGTGCTTGGTTGAAAAGTTATTTGGTGATTTACTTTCTCAAATCCAGTTTTTACTATTGCATCCATATTAACAGTAATATTTACTATTGCATCTTCTTATTATTTTTTGGGGCTACGTCCTTGACAGTTATCCGGTAACCTCGATCTAACATGAAAGCGCAGTAAATTTTGCTGATTTACGACACCAGGTGTCGCTGTTCCGAACTTGCACGGTCCCAATTATGTAGTGTCCCAAGAGTGTCTCGCACGAGTTTTGTTTTTACAAGGTAGTTTTTTATCAGAAATTATCCAGCCTAATATGAGCAGTATTGTGTAATTTAAAGAATTGTGGATAGCACGCTTTGTGGAACTTTTGAATTCTGTTCTAGATCTGCTGAATATTGAAATGTAGTGGTACCACATGTAATATAGCGTTTTGTTTCTGTGTTCATTATAAACATCAGTTTTTACAAGTATTTTATGCATTTTTTAACATCCATTCTCTTCGAAGAACGCCCAACTTTTTCACAACTTTATTTTTTTTTATAAAATATCATTTAAACAAAATTTAATTTCCATGTGCTATCGAGCATTCGATGCACGGCTTTGGTTTGGAGTTTGTTGTCCTAGCTAACAAGAATTATAAGTTTGAAGGAACAAAATATACTAAGTGGGATCTAAAGAGTCTAATATAGTGCCCTTTTTTTTTCAGAAGATGTGAACAACGACAAATGGTCACCTCTAAAACAAAATTCGACCCCCCATTATCTAGAACGCAGAAGTAGGGTAAGAAAAACCCGGGATTTCAGCAACAGAAGAGCTGCCTCTCAAGACCGCACATTCCCTACATTAGCAAATTGGAGAAGAAAGTCTGAACCGAGCATGGTACCGCAATATAACCCCAAAAAAGCTGTGAAAGTCAAGAAACACAAGGAATCTCAAAGTGCCACCTTTTACACGGATTTATCTGACTCAGAAAACTGCGCTGATGAATCTTTGGAGAATATACAGCAGAATTTGAATGAAAATACCGCTGAAGAACTGAAAGAGGAGGAAAGGACTGACTGTGTTAATAATAATTTGGAACAAATTGTGTCGGATATTCTTATGCAAAATCAAAGTTTCCACAAAGCATTCAATAGGTAGGTAATAAAATCTATTTGAGAGTAATTTTTACCTGTATTGCTCATTTGTTAAATTGATAGTAGAATAGTACTGCAATGGTCAATTCTTTTTACGACATTGGTGTTTAGTTTTATTAAGTGTTATATATGTTCCATTTTTTTAGACAAACAGGAAGAAAAACCGTCACAAGCGATCCATCTTCTGTTTGGTGCGAAGAAAAAGTAAAATTGCCAACGAAAGCGGATTCTTTGCCAAGATCCTTTCAGTTATATGATCAACCCGATTCGACTAATGGAGTAGAGTGCAAAAATGAAAGACTAGTGTTGGATATGTCATTGAAAGAGAACCCCGATTTTGATGTTGAAGAGCAGCAAGAAAAGTAAGGCTTTAGATAATGAATAGTGAAAGTTTTATTTGAGATCGACAGAATTACTTGGGATTTGATTTGTGATTAATTTCATTAATTAAATTTTAAACTGATTTCTGATCAGGACATAACCTAAAAATGCATTTTTTTTTTCGAAAAAAGTTTACAACTTTTGTTTGGACATGGCTGCAGGTCTCATTTTTTTATATATATTTTTAATCAAAAACTATATTTCTAATTTTTCCGTAAACCACCTTCCGAAACCTATAAATTTGTTTTTAGGGAATTTTGGTGATTTTCTCCATTTTATATACTTCAAAATAGGTCAAATCGGTGTTCCTTATAGGTCATGTATATTTTAAAGCAACTTTAGAGTCCTTTAACACATTCAAAAATCGGGAAAAAACACTTTTAAACCCCCAAAACACCAAAATTTTTCGTTTTGCGGAGATCAAGACAACCTGAACCAATGTGTCTCCAAGCCATATTCAAAGAATATATGAAAAAGAAAATGTTCAGGCCTCAAAGAAGCAAGCACAACCATCGTTTGTGCGAAAACCAGGTTTTTAAGGTTTATTTGGGAGGTTTTTACTAAATTTACACAAGTTTTTGTACCTTTTTACATACAACATGAAAGTAAAAAAAGTTGGGCAAATCCAGTAAAAACCTCTCGAATAACCATTGAAAACCTGGCTTGTCGCGTAACCCAATTATATTTGCTTATTGAAGGCCTGGAAATAATGTTATTTTTCATATATTTTTAATATGAGTTGGATACGTACCTATTGAATCAGGTTGCATATACAGGGTGTCCCAGACTAATTTACCCACGCTATATTTTTTAAACGAATAGAGATTTTCAAATGGGACAAAAAGTGATCTATTCCATTTGTAATACACTTTAATATAGCGAAGAAAAAATCATCCCCTAAATATTCATCCCTTAGTTACAACCCCTAACTTTAATTTTTTTAATAGCACCCTGTATACTTTTTTATAGTTTTGGATGTGATCTTCTATCGTCTATTCAACAGATTTATTAAAAATAAAATCGGTTTATAAATAATCAAGAAATCAATTAATCTTTTATTTTTGTTAATTAAGTGTCCCAGACTAATTTATCCAGGTTATATTTATTAACAAAATAGAGATTTTTTAAAGGGTCGAAAACTGGTCTATTCCATTTGTAATACACTTTAATATAGCGAAGAAAAAATCATCCCCTAAATATTCATCCCTTAGTTACAACCCCTAACTTATTTTTTTTAATAGCACCCTGTACATTTTTTTCTAGTTTTGGATGTGGTCTTCTATCGTCTATTTAACCGATTTTTTTTTAAATGAAATGGGTTTGTAAGGTATCAAGAAAATATTAGTTTATTTTTTATTTTTGTTAAATTAATCAACGGAACATCAACCACACTGGAAGATAACGTATGCTCCTACAAAGACCAAATTTTGAAAAATTAAAAATAATTTTTAAATAATTAGGGTGTGTAAGAAGTTATACTACTAATATTTCTTTTCTATTCTATTTTTTAAGGCTATCTTGATTAATTTAACAAAAATAAAAAATAAACTGATATTTTCTTGATACCTTTTTACAACCCATTTTATTTTTAAAAAATCGATTAAATAGACGATAGAAGACCACATATAAAACTATAAACAATGTACAGGGTGCCATTAAAAAATTTAAGTTGGGGGTTGTAACTAAGGGATGAATATTTAGGGGATGATTTTTTCTTCGCTGTGTTAAAATGTATTACAAATGGAATATACCAGTTTTTGTTCCTTTAAAAAATCTCGTATTTTGTTGAGAAATATAGCCTGGACAATTTAGTCTGGGACACTTAATTAACAAAAATAAAAAAATTAATTGATTTCTTGATTATTTACAAACCGATTTTATTTTTAATAAATCTGTTGAATAGACGATAGAAGACCATATCTAAAACTATAAAAAAATATACAGGGTGCTATTAAAAAAATTAAAGTTAGGGGTTGTAACTAAGGGATGAATATTTAGGGGATGATTTTTTCTTCGCTATATTAAAGTGTATTACAAATGGAATAGACGAGTTTTTGACCCTTTATAAACTCTCCATTTTGTTAATAAATATAGCCTGGATAAATTAGTATGGGACACTTAATTAACAAAAATAAAAAATTAATTGATTTCTTGATTATTTACAAACCGATTTTATTTTTAATAAATCTGTTGAATAGACGATAGAAGACCACATCCAAAACTATAAAAAAATATACAGGGTGCTATTAACAAAATTAAAGTTAGGGGTTGTAACTAAGGGATGAATATTTAGGGGATGATTTTTTTCTACGCCATATTAAAGTGTATTACAAATAGAATAGACCACTTTTTGTCCCATTCGAAAATCTCTATTCGTTTAAAAGATATAGCGTGGGTAAATTAGTCTAGGACACCCTGTATATAAATATTATTAACCCCTTAAAAACTCTTAAAAAGCGCTTGAAAACTCATGTTTTTTGACTTTAAAGTAGTTTAGCCCAATTTTTGAATGTCCTGAAGGACTCGACTTCGCATTATATAAAAAATCCTTGATTTAATCGATTTTGAAGCCTATACAATGGGAAAAATCCCCAAAAAACCTTAAAAACCAGTTTTCCGGCTTTTTGAAGGTTGCACACCTTTACGGAAAGATTTGCAAAAAAATCAGAAATATATATTTTAATTAAATACATAAAATAAAAACAATAGACCTGCATCTCAAAAAAAATTTATACCGACGATTTTTTCGAAAAAAAATGCATTTTAGGGTTATGTACACCCAACATAATGGTTCAAAAATACACGACTATTGTAAAAGCTAACCCACAGAAAAAAAGTAAAAACAAAAAAAAATGACGTTTTTGTGGTTAGGGGGTATGGGAGGGAGGTGGCCGCTTAAAAGTGCGCTGAGTCTTATTTTTTATTCACATAGAACGTAAAAAATGAAAAAAATTGAATTCTGAGAGTAAGGGCGTTGCCTATCTTATCCGGGGCCTTTGATTTGTGATTCCAGTTTAATTTGGGATGGACTAAATTTAGTGAGATTTGCTTTGTGATTGATTTAATTAATTGAAGCTTGAATTGTGATTATGGAGTTAAGTTATATTTAATTGTGTTTAATTCCATTTATGAATATTTGATTTGATTTGACAGATTTGTTTAAATTTTATTTGGGATTGACTGAATTAATTGAGATCCCATTTATGGTTAATTTGATTAATTCAAATATGAATTGCGATTATTGAATTGATTTTTTATTGATTCTATCTATGAAAATCTGATTTATAACCGAACGATTGGCTGAAAATTTGATTTGATTTGTAACTGACCGATTTGATTAAATTTTGATTTAGCATTGATTGTGTTGAGATAGAAATTTGATTTTTGGCTAGAGTTTTATTTGAGATTGACTGAATTTATTGGGACCTCATTTGTGATTAATTTCATTAATTTAAATTTTAATTGTGAATATTAAATTAATTTTTGCTTGATTGTATTTATGAAAATCGGATTTATAACCGAATGATTTACTTTAAAGTTGATTTGTAACTGACCGATTTGTTAAATTTTGATTTATCATTGATTGTGTTGAGATAGAAATTTGATTTGTGGCTCCAGTTTTATTTGGGTTTGACTGAATTTATTGAGATCTCATATGTGATTACTTCAAATTTGAATTGAATTGACTGATTGAATTGATTTTTTATTTATTCTATTTACGAAAATCAGATTTGTAACCGAATGGTTTGCTTAAAATTTGATTTGTAACTGACCGATTTGATTAAATTTTGATTTGTCATTCATTGTGTTGATAGAAATTAGATGTGTTGTTCAAGTTTCTATTGGGATCGACTGAATTTATTAAGATTTAATTTGGGATTAATTTCATTAATTAAAGTTTGAATTTTGATTATTGAATTAAATTAAATTAAATTAATTTGTAATTAATTTTATTTATGAAAATTTGATTTGATCAAATTTTGATTTGTAATTAACTAGACTGATTATAATTTGCGACTAATTGAATTTGAATTGGGTTTTGTGATTGCATGATTGATTCAAATTTGATTTGTATCATTCCTATGACATTTAAAATTTAAAAAGTTGACAAAGCAGAGGAATAATTTTATTTATTTTTAGTGATCTCTCTTCTCAATTAGATGACACCGAGCATCCTGATCATAAAATTTACCGAAAAAGTACGATACGCTTCAGCATTTTGCAACGAATCCGGCATATTATGTCAGAAGAGCAGAAGAGAATCCAAAAATACCCCATTCGCAAACAGGGGTCTAAGAGCATGGGCGAAAAAATTGCACATCCCGACTATGTAGATCCTCAAAAACTTTTTTTAGGTATGTCTTTCAAAAAATCACTGTAGTACTTTTGGTATATTGAATTTGGTGATAGTAATAGCATAAATATAGTTTCACATACAAAAGTTTCTTATACCTTGCATATTGTAAAAAGTTATAGAAGAAAACGTGATGCAAACTTACCTAATAAAACAGATTAATAAACCTATATGTCACGATTAAACCTTTTAGTTTTTAAAAACTATTGTGACGTAAGAAAAACATGTAATAACCAAACATGTAATAAGGAATGGATGAGTCCAAGTTACTTTATTATGAGTTGAGAGTATTACACGACATAATAATTTTCATGATTGTGTTCGCTTATATTATCGCTTTATATTAAAGTAGTATAGTACCTTCGTATTTCCGTGAGACTGTGCAAAAATATATGTATCTGTAATAAAATCATTCAACAAAAAGGTACTCTACCAGGAGTCTGTAAAATTATCAATGACTCAGACGTATAATAATACAAAGTTTCCAGATTCCTCTCGATATTAACATTCAGACGTGCCTGGTATAATCTTTTAAAATATTAACCAGATATGAACAATCAACCAATTAAGTTTTCATCGAACTTATGATAAGTCCACGTGAACTAACGGCCAATGAAAACATCGGATATCGCTGTTATGACAAATCATAATGCATTATCTCTTGTCGGTAGACTTATTCATACTTGGTGTAAGATTATATCAGTATTTGACTGAGCTTACGGAGTCATAAAATAAGGGATCAGGTTTCGACCGTCCAGTGCCGAAGGCACGGGACGGGGAAAACTTAGGTAGGCAAATTTTTATAATATTTTATTTGTATAGTGACTTTTTTCAGTGTTCTTTATACGGAAAACATTTTATATTTTACGTTTTTTACTTTTTTTGATACGTTTTTACGTGATTATATTTTTATACGTTTGATAATTTTAAAATATTGCGTCCGTGGTGCGATAATAATTATGTAGCTGAAGAGACAATGGAACCCTCTAATCGATTGGAAGATTTACAATGGCGTGTAGTAAAACGTAAGCGACATTTTCAATACCTTTCTGATGATGCCAAACGTATGCTAAAAAATGTTTATGAAGGACTGTGTGCTGAATTGTCTAAATCAGAGGCAATTGCAGAAACATGTTGTTTAACCAGAGTGCCAAAGCAACCTGCTACAAAATTATAGGAGAAACATCTTCTTCCTGACAGAAGAGAAAGGATTGTGGCAAATTCAGAAAAATAGAACCGCACTTAATTGAATCTATAACTAGAACAATATACCAAATATATGCAGCTAATATTTTTCCAACTATTGAAAGCCTTCGAAGTGAATTAGTTCGAAAGTGCATTCTCTCGTGTTCAGCAACAACACTTCGATTTTTTCTTAAACCCAATAATTTTAAGTACAAAACTATAGACAAGAGACAGGCATTAATGGAAAGTACTAGGATAATTTCTTTAAGAAACAATTATATCAGACAGATAACTGAGTATCGAAAAATGAAACGAAATATTGTTTATTTAGATGAGACCTGGTATGAAACTCATGACACCGTGAAAAAAAAGTTGGACAAATAATAACAAAAAGTGTTTCAACTCAGTACCGCCCAATAAAAGAAAAATGATTATAATTTTACACTGCGGTGTAGAAAATGGATGGGTCGACGATGCATTATTAATATCTGCAAAACAAATTAAAAACGCGTCTCTAGATTATCATGACGATATGGAAAGTTCAATTTTTGAATCATGGTTTGAAAAATGTCTTCTTCCGAAATTACTTAAAGATAGTGTGATTATCACGGACAACGCATCATATCATTCAAGATTAATGAAAAAAATTCAAATAATAGTTGGAATAAATTAAAAATTCAGGAATTTTTATTCACGGAAGATTTGTGTTTTGAGACATCTTATATTAAAAAGCAATTGTTGGAGGTTGTTCATAGTAAATAGTACGAAAAGGAATATGACAACTGTGCTCGTAGTAACGGGCATACTGTGTTTAGACTTCCTCCTTATTATTGTACATTGAACCCAATAGAGTTAATATGGGCTCAACTTAAAGGAAATATAATGAGAAGAAACGTTGCTCCAAAATTGTTTGTCTACTGTTCTCCAGTTAATTTGAAGAGAATTCACAAAAATTACAGCAACCAACTGGAAAAATGTAATAAAAATAAAACATGTGATCGGAGTGGAAAATGACTATGTTAAATATTTACCAGCATTAACCAAATTACCTATAACTTTAGATGATAAGAGTGATACTAGTGATAACAGTGATTCTGAGTAGATAGTAGGTACTTATTAGGTGTTCGTTGAAACCTTTATTTCTATTTTAATTGTAGATATTCTCATTTTGCTTATATATCTTTGAAAACAGGATATAAACACACTTCTTGATAGGATAAAAATTATTAATGTTTTAGGGGAGGATATCAACTGAAACTGTCACTGCCATTCTCGCTGAATAACTACTAATATTAACAATGTTTTATATAGATATTATTATTTTACAATAAGTTCTGTTCAGTCGAGTCGATTAGTGTTATCACTCCCAAGATATATCACACAAGTTAAAAACACCGATATTGTTTAGTTAAGATAAATGATACTCCGATAACTTTATAGAACATGAAACTTTTTGGTAAATAAAATTAAATAAAAGTAAAAACTTTTATTTAATTTAAAATTAGATATCTACGCTACTGTTCTACTACTATGTACTACAATAAAGTATTGGTAACTCTAACAGCGTTGCCATTTTACTAGTATTTTGCTGCTTTGGTCTCTGTAAATTTTCTCACGAAATTACGTGCCGACTATAGTAGTAGGTTCACAAATTATTATTAACATGCTGATCTATGTTACTATTTGATTTCACATTTTCTCATTTTTCAGGTTCAGACAGTTGCAGTCAGATAGATCTCTCGCAAGACAAAAACGAAGAAAGTGATACCCTTGGTGAACCGGAGCAGCTTGATCTAACAATCAATGAGAAAGACGTACTTAACGAGTTGGAAAAGAGGTTGAATGGTGGCGCCACAGTTTCCGATACAGGCCAGGATCATAACTCTAGTCACAGCTTTATTTCTAGTCAAAGTTCGGATAGCTATTACGAGAAGATCCTGGAGGATTCTTTGAAAGAGGAGTACATCAAGGATTCCACTGGGAAATTGGTAAGTTTATAAGATAGAGGCAAATATAATGATGATGATGAGATCAGGGTATGGAAAACTGGAAAAAAATTTAGAATTCCAAGGCCTTTTCTGCTATTTTCCTCTAGTTTGTTATAACGAGTAATCTTGTCTTTGTATTTAATATTGGTTTTTTATTGCATCATTGGCGCAGCAAACTCTACTTGCCGGGATAATTTGAAGATGTTATTACATTACAGATCAGTTTCTCTTATTTTTTTTATCTATGCAAACCTGTGAGGAGAAGTTTTGACACTGACGTAAGAATCAGAAATAATAAGTAACGAAACGTAAAGCGGCTTGAAGTAATTCTAACTTAAGGTCATATCTCTTATTAGTTTACATTAATAGACCAGTAAAATTAGCAAACAAATGTGTAAATAATGTTATCGAAATTTTTATGACGGAATGTGTTAGGTGGGGGTATAATACACAAAATACTTAATAATAAATTGAACAGCTGAAAAGTTCCGGTGATAATTTAAAAGCGTTAAAAAAGCGAAATTTTTTTTTAAATTTTTTTTAACATTCTTCTTCTTCATGTGCCTTGTCCGTTCTGAACGTTGGCAATTAACATGGCTATTCTGACTTTGTTTACGGCAGATCTGAATAGTTCAGCAGATGACAATCCGAACCATTGCCGCAAGTTTTGGAGCCACGAATGTCTTCTCCTCCCTGGACCCCTTCTGCTGTCTATTTTCCCTTGAACGATCAGCTGTAGTACTCTATATTTATTATGTCTCATAACGTGACCCAAGTATTCCAACTTTCTTTTCTTTATACTTATTCCTACTTCTCTCTCTTTACCTATCCGGCGTAGTACCTCTTCGTTGGTCACGTGCTCAGTCCAGGATATACGTAATATACGTCGGTAAGCCCACATTTCGAAGGCCTATACTTTTTTCATCAATGTTGCGGTCATTGTCCACGCCTCAATTCCATATAACAAAACCGGGAATACATAACATTTCAGAAGTCGAATTTTAAGAGGTAGGGTAAGGCTTTTAGAGGTGAAAATTTTCTACTCTTATACGTATTTCCTTCGCTTGATCCCAATTTGAGTTAACTGTTGTTCCCAAGTAGATGTACGAATCCACGTGTTCAATTCTTTCATTGTCTAATATCAGTTGCTGTGGTGTTTGTTAGGTTTTGCTTACTAACATCCATTTGGTTTTTGTGATATTTAGTCTGAGTCCGTATTGTGCACTTGTTTTTTGTATCTTACTCATTAGGCAACTCAGTTTCTCCATGCTACTTATCTTCCATTTATCTTTATGCCTTCTGTGCTTTCCTCCAGCGCTGTCTTAAATACTTCTTCTGAGTATATATTAAAGAGAATTGGAGACAAGATACAGCCCTGTCGTACCCCTTTCTTGATCTCAATTTTATTGGTCAATGTAGATCCTACTTTCACTTTAGCTGTCTGACCCCAATAGAGACTCGCTATTGTTCGAATGTATCTGTAGTAGACTCCGATCTTATGGAGAACTTCAATTATCTTTACGCGCTTTACGTTATCGAATGCTTTTGCGTAGTCTATAAAGCATATTATGTACACGTCTTTGTTCATATCTCTGCAGCGCTGGATGAGTACCTGTAGACTAAAAAGTGCTTCTCTTGTCCCAAGAGAATTCCGAAACCCAAACTGCGAATCTCCAATGTTATCCTCGCATTTTGTGCTTATTCTGTTGTAAAAACCTTGGTGTATGCCTTCGAAATGTGGTTAATTAGACTTATCATCCGATGTTGATCACAAGACTTTGCTTTTGGTTTTTTCGGTATGGCAACAAAAGTTGACTCTAGCCAGTCTTCAGGAAACTTCCCGCTGTTATAAATATTGTTAAGAGTCTGACGAGTGAGTCTAGAAATTGACTGTTTGTTTCGCACAGCATTTTCAATACTTCCCCGTATACGTTATCGTTGCCTGGTCTTTTGTTATTTTTAAGACCCTTTTATTTTACACATCAAACAAGACAGGTAGCAGCACATTTGTCGCACTCCACGCTGGATTAATATTTCGTCTGTCTACTGTTACTTTTACTTTCTGACGGCAATAAAGATTACCTTTATTCTCGTTCATCTAAATTTTATTTTCTTGGTATTTTTAAAAGTTTTTCGTCTTGGATGGTGTCGAAAGCCTTTTCGTAATCTATAAAACATGCGAACACATCACGGCATCTCTGTACCACTATATTTGCATGCTAAATGAAGATTCACGTGTTCCCATTCCTGTTCTGAAACCGGATTATGTATTGCTCATGTTCTCTTCGCATTTTCGCTGTATACGGGCATGCCTAACATTCAAAAGTATTTTTAAATCATGACTCATGAGACTGATTGGGACGATATTCGCTACAATATATAGTATTTTGCTTCTTAGGTAGTGTCACAAATGTAGAACTGAACCAATATTTAGGAATTTTGTCCCTTCGGTAGATTAAATTAAGCAAATACCCACAATTAAATATGAATTAATGAGCAAATGGATCGATGGCTTAAAAACAATAGCGAAACACTAGTATCTCTCATTTGTTATATCCTTATTATTTCAGCTGTCTTTTTCGCCCTGATATAGGGTGTCCCAAAATTTGCGCAAGTTTGAATTGAATTGAAGACACTTTTTTTTAGATTGTGAATTTTTATTGAATCATAAAGTACATAGAACAGCGTTATTTATACAATAGCACGTTAATCAAATGGCCTCCACGGCTTTGCTAGGACATACGCTTTATTATCGAAATTTTGTATGACCGTTTTGCATAAATGTGACTGAATTTCATTGATGCAGCGTGGAATTTCCTCACTTGCACGGGTGGTTTGACTTCAAATAATCCCATAAATAGAAATAAAATGGTATTAAATCGCACTATATAGGGGGCCAATTCTGATTACCGAAACTGGAGAGTACACAACTAGAAAATGTCTGTAGTAATAGAATTGTTTCACAGGCTGTATGGCATGCGACGGCGTCTTGTTGAAACCATATGTCTTCAATATCAATATCATCCAATTTAGATAGAAAAAACTCTGTTATCATGTTGCGATATCGAGCCCCAGTAACTGTCACATGTGGGTTTTCAGAACCTCAAATGCGGCCATTTTGACGATTAACCTAGTCATCAAGGTGAGAATATACTTCATCGCTTAGGATAATTTTGCTCGAAAAAATAGCGTACACTTGTTGATGTTCAATAACCCATTCAACAAGCTTTCTACCTATTCGCTGTGCATGGTCATTAGGCTTTAGTTCTTGTATAAATTGAACTTTGTAAACGTGGAGATGCAAATCTTCAGTGAATATGCGCTGTAGAGAGATTCTTGTAATATGCAATTCTTATCCACGGCACCGAATTGATGTTACTGGACTGTCACCAAAACTTCTCACGCACTGCTTCGATACTGGCATTTGAGCGGCTTGTTTTTGGACGACCAGTGTGTTTAGCATCACCAAAATATCCTGTCTTACTGAAATTTTTATTTAGTTTTTTCACAATCGACGAACCTAAATCAATATTTAGACCAATTTTTGAACCTTGGCTGCAAGCTTTCATTATTTTTAAAATATTTTTTTAACAATGAAAACGCATTGTGCTCTGCTGTCACACTTCATTCTTACTAACCCTAAATTGTTAGATATCAAACTGTTTTTTGTTGCCAGCACTTTACTGCATTCAAATTTTGCTTGAATTTTGGGACAACCATTTGTTAGATCCTGTAACATATCCTAATACGGCCTTCAATTGTCCTTTATTATATTTTCTTTACCACAAAAAAATCGAGCTTTTCGTTAAATGTCTACATGTAAATAATTATCTCATAAATCATGAACCCTTTCATATATATTCTAAAAATGATTATTTACATAATATCTGATGAGTTTTCTTCTTCTTGATGTGCCTATTCGTTACGAATGTTGGCGAACATCATGGCAATCGTTATCTGATCTGCAGCAGCGCGGAAAAGCTGCACAGATGTTGTATTGAACCAGATTCTGAGGTTCTTTAACCAAGATGTTCTTCTTCTTCCTGGACCTCGTTTTCCAAATATTTTTCCTTGCCGGATGGCTGGAAGTAAAGCATATCTGGATTCATTTCGCATAATATGTCTGAAGAACTGTAACTTTGGATGGTGGTCAGTGTTATGTTGTATTCCTCTAATTTTTTTAAAACATTAATTACATTTAAATGTCATTCATCTAAAGTTGTACCATGAATTAAAATATCGTCTAAATAACATTTAGTCTTTGGGAGATTGGCCAGCACTCTGTCCATTATTGTTTGAAAAATACCTGGGGCTGAGCTTACCCCATAAGTAAGTCTGTTATATCTAAACAACCCCAAGTGGGTGTTAATAGTAAAATATTTTTTCGATTCTTCCCCTATTTCAAGTTGCTGGTATGCTCCTTTTAAATCTAACACTGTAAAATATTTACTACCTGCTAAACTAGCATATATATCATTAGGCAAAGGTAATACACAGTGATCTCCATCTATGGCTGTATTTAACGTCTTTTTAAAATCACACAAATTCTAATTTCATTTATATTCCTTTTGGGTACAATAACTATAGGACTAGCCCACCTACTACTCTTTACCTTTGATAAAATACCCATACTGACCATTCTACCTAACTCTTCCTCTACTTTTGGTTTCAATGCATATGGCATTTCATAAGCTCTGTGAAATATTGGTTTCACACCATCCCTTAACTTTATATGTACTTTAAACCTTTAATAGAAGACATGGCTTCTTCTCTAAAATTGTTGTTAAACTTTGTTTTAACTTGGTTTACTAAAACCTCTACTTTATTGCTATCATTTTTAACTTGATGTTCACTGCTTATTGAATGTAACCTTTCATTATTAATGTCATTTATATTAAAACTTTTTTCCCAATTTGGTAAAATAACACATAACCAGTTAGGTCCAAGTAGAGCTAAGAATGTACTATTGCAATTTATAACTACCAAAGGTAAGCAAAATGTCCCATTATTAACCCTAACAATTACCTCAATTTCTACATTCTGACCAGTAACAACTTTCAACTTATACTTTACAGGATACATTTCTAAGAATGACAACTGTTTTTCATAATCTTTAACATGAATAACACTTTTACATGCTCCAGAATCTACTTCAAAATTTAAAATTGATATTCAACATCTATATCTAATGTGACTTTACATGGTTTCTCATTGTTTTGTTTTACATTACCAATAAAACCTAACTCTAAGGAATTTTCCTCACACTCACTATGATTATATTGCACTGTGTTTACTGAATTTCTTTTCCTGCACGCACGACTGGTGTGGCCTCTTTTGTGGCAATTGTAACACTCCCAGTTCTTCGCAGGACAACTTTCTGGGTTATGATTCCTTTTACACCAATAACATGATTTCACTGGCACTTGTTCAGATGATGATTGTTTTGGTAAATTTTTGCTGTTTGTTACACCCAACTTTGATAACACTGTATCTGACTCCAAAAATCTTGATTGATCTACAGCCTCCATACTTTGGGCTTCTTGAAGAGCTCTTTCGAATGTTAAATTACTTTCAGTCAGTAATTTTCTTCTTATTGTATCTGATTTCAATCCACAAACGAACTTATCTCGTAAGGCATCATTTAAGAAGTTACCAAATTGACAGTGCTTGGACAGGTTTTTCAACTTTTGAGCATAATCTCTTAATGGTTCATTTGGCTCCTGTTTGCTTAAATAAAAGTTATACCTCTCTGCAATGATTATTCGTTTTGGACTATAGTGCAGAACAAGAACATCTTTCAATTGCTGATATGTTTTCATTCGTGGTAACTCTGGTGCTAACAAATCCTTTAATACCTCATACGCTTCCCCTCCCATAAAAGTGAGGAACATTGAAACTTTTTTATTTTTTTCCACGAGGTTACACTCAAAAAGCTCTTCCATGCGCTCAATATATGAGGTTATGTCAGAACTTTTAGGGTTAAACTGCTCAATATTACCAATTAAAGCCATAACTTCCACGGCCCGTAGATCCGACTATACTCGTCGCCAAATATGTTATATATTTATATAATTATAATATATAATACTCAACTAATTTCAACTAACTTATTTATTGACATCCTCACAATTGACATGACCAGAACATAACACCAGCATGACACAGATAACCTAACCTAACATAAAACATAGTGGCCTCTTTCTAAAGGTACTTTCATAACAGTCAGTACCTCTCGGTTCTTATTCATTCTTCTGAGGACCTCCTCATTTGTAACTCGGTTAGTCTACGGGATCTTAAGCATCTTCCGATATAGCTAAATCTCAAAAGCTTCTAGTTTTCTGCACGTATCTTCGTTCAAGGTCCATGTCTGATGTCCAGGTCTGATGAGTTAATCGGACTCAATATTTCCAGTACAAAACAAACAACGTGAACCGATCCTTTTACACATGTACATCAGACCCTCTTTTATTTACACAATATCTGAACAAAACAATATGAATCGACCCTTTATATACACACCAGCACGTTTTATTGTTCTATGCTCACTAAAAGGTTTTTTAATAGTTGATCATAAAAACTTTTTATTGCCTTTAAATTTACAAACTAGAATGCCATAAGAAAAATCCTAAAATCTCCCTTTGCTTAAAATCCCTATAAAATGCCGGTTATTTTCCGGTAAGGAAATACTCTCTCATCACGCGCTCGTATTAAACGTACATATTCGACATAGCAAAGTGGTCATTTAAATTTAGATATTTTAAAAACAAATTGTAAAATTAAAGTCTTTGTAAAATTAACTATGCTCAAATAAAATAAAAATACTTGAACTCGCAGTCTTCAATATTACTTTAACATCGATCTATACCTTGCTTCCACAAAGATTAATGAATTACACGTTTGGTTTTCGTCTTATGTTGAAGGAAAGGGACATACACAACACCATGCGTATTTAAAAAAAATCCATATTGCTTGTGTGAACTACCAATACTCCAAAATATAAAACCTTGATTTGCATCTACGGATATAATTATAACTGTATTACTAATGTAATTGTTTATATTTTAGGTAGCAAAGCAGGACTCTTTTAGCAGCAACGAAGACAGATCCAGCTTAAACCAAAAATTCTTATTGGACAAGAGACCAATGGTCAAAAGGCCGACCAAAGCGCCCCCACCTATACCTCAAAAACCTTCAGGACTAAGCTTAAACGCGGGTCCAGTCAAAATCGTTACGGAGAAGATCAGTACCAAGACTGTAATCAAGGAGAGCACCACTAATGGTACTACCGTCACAGAAAACGTTAGTTCTACGACTACTTCAAGTACGAATTCCAGTTGGGTTAAAGCGATGGTGGGGAGGTTCGAATGATTAAAGGAGTAGATTTAATTGGTTGGTGGTTAAATTTCAGAACCAATAAGGGATTGATTATCATTAAACTAGATATTAGTACAAATTTTATTGAACGTACTTAGTGTTAGTTCAGATTTAGTAAAAAAATTGTCGATATATCAAGTTGACAATATGATGATAAATAAGAAAGATAGTGTCAAAATAATATTTTTTACAAATATAGAAATACGTATATAACGCAGAATTATAGTTATAAATATATTGGGTAAAAAGTAAAATACAAATAGTTTCAATAAATTTTGTTATTTGTTTTTTTTATCAGAAATTCTATCATGATTTCTTTCGTTCATATTCTCGTATCGTTCCTTATTACAGATGACAATATGATGGTTTCAATATGTAGTTCATTCCCTTAGCTTAGAAATATTGTGACAGATTCACTGTGGGAAACATAAAAGACACAAAATTACTACCTTTCACTATTAATAACCCAAATAAATTTTGTTTTTTAAAACAAAACTGCATCAACTGAAACAAAAGTTTATTTTTGAAATTTTATACCCATTAGAAGTGGAAAGTTTTTAATGAAAATTAATGAATATACCTTTTACAGCCTTTTTTCAATGTAAAAATGCTGGATCAATACGTTTAGTTGGTCTATTAATAGTGAGAGGTAGGAATTTTTGTGTTGTATGTTTACGATCATGACAAATTTTGACATTCTTTTTTTTTTTTCATTTTTAATCATGAGGCAAATATTCGCGCACTATCCGCGAAACCTGGCAGCAATCTGTCAACATTGTCTAATTTCAGATTTTAGGCAACTGCATTTTCTACTCTAGTAATTTTATTACACAAAATATAATTTTATGTCTTGTATTAAATGTCATAAAGAAATATGTTTAAATAATTTTTTAATCAACTTATTTGAAATGTTTTTAAATCATTTTTTAATCAGTTTATTTGCTTTTTTGTGTACGGTTTTTTTTCGTCTTTTATGCGAAAAATGTTCTTAACCTTCGTCTTCCCACGTCGGTAAAATTACGTGGAGTCCCACGTGGGTTCCATTTGTACCCCAGAGAAAAAAATGCGTATATTTAAAAAAAGGGTATATCGAACAAAAAAATAATTTTCATCATTTAATTAAATTAACTGTAGGAATAAAAAATAAATATTATGACCGAAAATTAGTCTAAAGTTTCTTGGCATCGGGTGCAAATTACTTCCTTGATTTGGTGTTCTTCCTACCTTTTGCCTACCTAAATCAACCAAAATACCCAAATCACCTTAGATATGCGGATGATATACTCCTGATCTCCTCGGAACGGCAAGAACTGGAATTAATGCTGAATGAACTTCATGAAAAATCACTACAAAAAGGCCTAAAAATTAACTTCAACAAAACAAAAGTAATGACAAACACGGAAGACCAAGAGGCAATAAAAATAAAAACAGAAAAATAGAACAGGTAAATGAGAATATCTATCTAGGACAAACAATCAGAGCTAACAGAGAAAATCAAACAGCCGAAATATCGAGACGAGTAAGAATGGGATGGGCAGCGTTCGGCAAACTTTCTTACGTTCTAAAAAAATCAAACAATCCCTCTATACTTACGAAGCAAGGTATATAACTCCTGTATAATACCGGTGCTCACCTACGGAGCACAGACATGGACATTTACACTGGCCAATTTGGATAGGATAAGAAAGGCACAAAGAGCGATGGAGAGACAAATGTTGGGTGTATCACTTAGAGATAGAAAACGTAACCAGTGGATTAGAACCAGAACAAAGACAGTAGACGCGATGGAACAAGCAGCAAAACTTAAATGGAAATGGGCTGGACACAATGAACGTCTCCAAGACGGACGATGAAACAATGCCATCGGAAAGTGGCGTCCATACAATGCAAAGAGATCAAGAGGCAGACCACAGATCAGGTGGAAAGATGACATCAGGAAACAAGGAGGTCCCACATGACAGAGAACAGCTCAAGATAGGGAAAGATGGAGAGAACTGGGGGAGACCTATATCCAATAATGGAAGGAATGGAATAGGTTAAAAAAAAATGGTGTTCTGCATATACAAAATTTTTACACTGCTTACAAAATTGCCTTGATTTACGATCTTTATTTCGACTACATAAGTAGCAACGTCCACTTGAAGATCATTCACAGGCTGCTTCTATTTGCATCTTCACCAGCGCCAACTTTGGAACGACATCTTGCATGTACTGCTTCAACGTCTTACTCAATCGTATTCCCTCATTATATCGCCTGGTAATATTTTCTTTTACTAAAGCTTCTCCTAGATTTAGTAAAAAATTGCGTCTATCATCTTTTTCTCTACATGAATCCGAGTACTTGATACACCATAAGATGTAAGCGTTCAGGCCAGAAATATCCAATATTTGGATTATTTGGACACTGCCATTGGCCATCGGTTGCATATCCTACGAGCGGAGTATTGCTTTACCAACTTATCTGTGGTATCTACTGCACCTTTTGTATGATTATAGTGCAGTATAAGTGAGAGCGCCCACCAAAGTGGCGTGGCAACTGGCAAGTAGCAAGTAGCACTCATCTAGCATGTTACTTAAAATGTAACCAATGACAACAAATGATTCAGTTCGCACCAAAATGAAAGTGACGTCATTCATTCTAATCATTAGTTTGGATTGGTTACATTTTAACTAACATGCTAGACGCGTGCTACTTGCTATTTGCCACGCCACTTTGGTGGGCGCTCTCCCTAATATCTGGCTTGTTATTTCATGTTTCGTCGGCAACAGCATCATCATGATGTTTAGTGGATAATAAAATAACCGATTTGCCTTTGCTGGTAACATGAGATACCATACAATGGTCTTTCGAAAAAGCAAACATACTAGAATGAACAGGCTTGAACGATTTGGGTAGCAACTCGTTGGGAATACATGCTTTATTTTTACGCAGAATACCACATAGGCTTAGTCCTTTTTTTGATAATTTTTCGTCCAGTGGTAAGCTTGTAAAAAAATTATGTGTAGTTATGCCATACCCAGAGCCACGTGGCTCAATAGGGTCAAGGACAACTCTTTTATCTTGAGTTTTTTTGGGTGCGTTATTCTTTTTTCCAAGATAAACTTGTAAATTCATACTGTAAGCATTTTCGCTGTCTGCCATCGCTCAAATCTTTAAGCCATATTTATCAGGCTTGCTTTTCATGTACAGGTCTAGGTGAATATGCCATAGTACAATTTTTCACAAAAGTATCGAACACCTCTCTAATAGGTGCGAGTTTATCATGCGCTTTACGATCTGCTCTGGTAGAATAGTCATCGAAACGAATAAATGCTGTAAGCAACTGAAATCTAATTACTATTTAACTGGGAATAAGCCACAATTAAAGATAAAAATACGTTTATTGACGTTTCAATTTCCACTTCGGAAATCGTTCTCAATAACCTCAATAGAAATGATGACATATTAGCGACAGTTGTCAATCTATCAAATAGACATTTAAATGCAACGGAGAATTTAATACTGTCAAAGGGTCTAAACTTTGCTATTACTCAGCCATCCGTTCCAAAATTAGACATAATAAGCTCAGTGGAGAAAATATCTCAATGCTTACCAACCCACGAAAGGAGAACTATTTCCGAAGTAGAAATTGAAACGTCAATAAACGTATGTTTATCTTTAATTGTGGCTTATTCCCAGTTAAATAGTAATTAATTTAAAATGCCTCAAGAAAATAGCTTCAAAACAATATCAACTGAAATCTATTATGTGACATACTTGCCGGAATAATAGGCCTAGCGTATTTTTTATCGGTACATCATAACATTTTTTGGGGCTCTTTTGTAGCTTGAAGTGCTCCTTGAATAAGCAGAAGTCGTAAATAAGCGCGAATCTCTATATGATCATTTAGCTGCCAACTACGTGCTGGTTTATTTGGATTTGTTTCGTTCCATTTGTTTAATATCTAAAAAAAATTACCCATGACATTACAATCCGTTTATGTCCTATTATCTATCAACAATAAGAATAAAATAACTGTAACATATTACAAAAAATTCGAATCTGATGATTGGTAAGATGCAAACGGATAAATAGTTATTATCAAATAAAGATATTTACCTGTTCGGCTTTATTATTTGTTTGAAGTACTATGATTCCTAAAAGATCGTCTGAGAAAAACAACGAAAATACTTAAATTCTAGTGGTAAACTACGAACTATACGTAGTGAGGCCTGCTTGTTTCTTTAAAATATTTTTTACAATTCTTCGTTTCTAAGGTATTTTTGACCAATGCATACCATCTTTAGATATATACGATGGATTGACAGGCTCTTCTCTTACGTTTGCTTGGTTTGTAATTTGCTGAACATTTTCATTATCGGCTTCAATGACGTAAAACAGTTTTTCAATGATTTCTGGCTCCATATCACTATCTTCGCCTTCAGAGAACACTATGACATCATCTTCCAATTCATCGTCAGACTGCGCAAACACAAGTCGCTCTAATTCGGCTTTAGATAATCCTTTTGGCAACACTACACTATAACAAAATCGAAGTAAAAATATACTAGTACTTACCGCTACGACGCGACAGGAAAACTAAATACGTGTAACCATCGCATTTCGTTCGATGTTTTGTTCTTAGAGTTGCGACATGCGCGTAGTAATTTGCAAAGCTCCTGATAATACAGATGACACAGATTCCCACAGGGTAGGAATGTACCCTAAGCCGATCATAATTTATTTGTTTTTAATTGAAACATCCTTACTGATTTTATGAATAGTATATTATTTGCAATACCCTAATGGATACAAAATAAAATTAGCCAAACGAAACAGGCGCTAATTTCAAAAATATTACAAAAAATGTGTATCTGGGGTAGAGGTAATGGATTTTGGGAACAGCTATGAGAACATTTCACATAAACTTGTGTACTAAATAGGCATAATGCATAGCTTTTGTCAAAATCCAATACATTAATAATATAATTATATATCTTCGATTCAAAATAATGTAAAAGACTTTAAAGAGTCTGAGTAAGAAAAGAGATATTTAGTTATATTCTTTGTGGCATTTTCAAGGTCATAGCTGTTCCCAAAATCCATTAACTCTACAGCTGTACCCCACCCGGGAAGACGAAGGTTAAGTTGAAAACAAATTATTTGAGGATATTTCTTGCATAGAATTCTGGTTTTAGAATCCAGATAAAAAAAAATTATCATAAAACATTTTTATCTGTATTTAATTTTTATTTGGTTTTATCAATTTTTAATGAAATTGTCTCATGGAAATATAATTTGCCAGAACTATCATTTCAAATATTCCCTAAACTTTCTGTATTCTCGTATTAGAAGCGAGAGTATAGTTCCATCACGTACAGTCATAGGTTTTCTTTCCTATTTATTTTCCAATTATCGAAAATATGTTCTACCTATGTCGAGACAGATGTAGGGTACAATTATGTTAGATCACATTAATCATTCTACGAGGGTGGATTGATATAAAACTAGCCTTTGATAGAAAAAGCAAGTTTTTTGGAATTAAATCGATTTATTTCTCAACATAGTCCCCTTTTAGCTCGATACACTTATTAAGACGATATTCCAATTTTTTTATCCCATCCGAATAGTACTTTTGCTCGAGCTGTTCAAAATAGACCGAATTTCAGCGACGACTTCATCATTTGTTGCAAAACGGCGTTCTTCAAGCCGGTGCATTGTCTTTGTGAAAGAGCACTTTTTTGCGTTTCAAATCGGGGTATTGTCGACGCAATTCTCCACGTCTGCGCCACTGTTTCGACTGTCTTTGGTTTCCGGTAATAATGCACCCAGTTTTCATTAACGGTGATAAATCGGCGAAAAAAATCCTTCGGATCGCGCCGGATCATCGCCAAAAGCGTGTCCGAAGTGGTCACACGTTTTTGCATTTGATCAATTGTCAGCAAACGCGGCACCCATCGCGCGGATAGCTTTTTCATGTCCAAATTATGGTGAATTATGTTGTGTACGCTTTCGTAGGAAACGTTTAGGACCTGTATTAACTCGCAGAGCTTAAGGGATTTCCCAAACCGAGGCGAAACTTTCGCAGTCGCAACCTACGTGGAATCGCGGCGAATCGTAAGGCACGGCAACTTATGCACGTGTTCAGACCACAGATCACCTACCTCCTAGATGTTCCACGACAATGCTTTAGTTGGATATGAAATTCAGCGCTCCATAAGATTCGTATCGGAACTAATTCAACCGGGAAATTACGCGGGAATTTCAAATTTTAATTTTGGTGGGAAAATTTAAATAAAGCTTAAAATATTTAAATATAATTTAATATATTTGAAAAAAAAAATGCATTTGACATTTTTAAATTCAAATATACACAATACCATGTAGGAAAAAATAAAACAAAATGTAATTTATTTATTTATTTAACACTTGTAAAAGAACTTTGTAATTTAGAATAGAATAAAAATATGCTATTACCACTGAAAATTGTACAATTTTATGGACAAAGCTTACAAAAAGTCAGAAAAATAGCAATTTAAAATTTACTGAAATTACATAAATCGTCAATATCACAAAATAAAAGATAATAAAATACACAATGTATTCTAAAATTTAAATAAATTGCTTAATAAATCCTTACGAACTAATACATTTAAGTTTCAGCATGTGATACTGAAATATATATTTATACAAATAGTTTAGTTACTTGTACATAGCACCATAGAGAAATAACAATAAGCATAGCACTATTCGTTAAGAAACTCTTCTACTGAATAATATGATCACCATACAAATGGACTCACCATACAAATGTAAGCTAGGATTTACATTTTTATACAATTTATGACTCCATCAAGAAACAAACTTATCTTCAAAGTGTACTGCAGACTCATTTTGTTTTAAAAACTGTACTAGCATTCATCATATCTAAATTAGGATTATTTGTAACACTAAGCCACTTCCTAAATCGTGTAATGTCTTTATCAGGCTTTGGGAAGGCATGTCTTATTAATGACGAATTGGTACATTGTAGGATACAACATTTATTGTGAAGAACCATTTAACTAATTATTATTAATCTGCAAAATACTGTTTGAACACCACCAGGAACATTTAAAACACATATCACTGAGGTAGGGGATTTGTAATTTACAATTTAACAAAATCAAAATATAGACGCTAATATGACAATTGGCGATTGACAATTATAATTCTTAGTTGTGTTCTAAACCTAAACTGTAGAGTAAAGGTAAAGACAGAGTAAAGCGACATCTGAAGATTCGTATCGGTACTACAACTGACATTAAGTTTGGTTTGACCTTGAGCTACCTACGTGAAACGTCTAGTTATTAGTGGTCTGTGGTTCAGACAAGTTGGGGCGGAATCCGCGACGGTCGTGGCAGATCAGCGTTGTTTTCATGAAACGCTGCATGCACGGTTTTTTTCGCTGCAGTTATAGTTTCGCGTGAATTAAAATGGCTGTTACAGAAAAACTAATTGAAATTGTGAAACAATATCCTATACTTTATGA